TAAGAAAATAAAAAATACGTGTCTAATGATTTAAAATAATCTACCAGACGGACATTAAAATAGAAAATTAGGCATCTATTGTTACCTATTGTTGTTATCCGATATAAATTACAGACAGTCTGATTGGCCGGCCATAGTGAACCAACCAATTAGAGTGCCACACGTGATGTCGTTTCGATTAACGTAAAATAATACTGTTACTAAGACCTCAGAATATTAAACAATATTATGCACTAATAAACTACTGTGTAGCATACCTAAAGCTTTGTAGTATTTAACAATGATAGCTTTTCAACATTACAATGACTTTTATGGGTTTTTTATTGGTATAATGTATATATATAATAAGTAGTTTTGTAATGAGCACTTAATTAACTCGTCGAGTACCGGTTTTGTAGACACAATTATAGAACAATAGGTTGCGGTCACCGGTGACCGCTTGGTGTTTGACAGTTTAATATGATGTATTATATGAAAAATGTAGAATGTAGAATGTACTTCCAGAAATCAAGAATATTAAACCAGGTGGCACTTGTAACGCCTCTGGTGTTCCAGGTGTCCATGGGCGACGCCGATTGCTTACCATCAGGTGATCCGTCTGCTCGTTTACCGGCTTACTTATGCCATAAAAAAATATTTTAAGGACATCTCTTTCTACTTTCAAGGTTTGAAATAGAACAGACGAACTCTAAGGTGCTAGTACTAGGGATATTCAATATCTTATATCGCTTCGAGCACCGGTCTCGTCGAGTACCGGTTTTGTAGACACAATTATAGAACAATAGGTTGCGGTCACCGGTGACCGCTTGGTGTTTGACAGTTTAATAATGACCAGATGCCTAATAATAGATACCTACCCAATGTTCGAAGGAACTTATTTAGTTATCTAGGTATCGCAGACTTTTGAGATTTTCAAGTCAAAACATTTATTTCAATTAATCCTTGATTAGTTACTTTTCAAACTCAAATAGGTACTTAGAATTGTAAGTGAAACTAGGTGCTCGTTCCAAAGTGTGAATTATAATTATTAAAAAATAATTATATTTTTTCTATTTTTGTAGTAAAAAACTAAGTACTGCACACCAAGCTTCACCTAGCTTCACTGACGGACTGATTGATAGACTATTATTTATTTTGTATTTGTTGACATTTCAAGAATACCAAATTATATGTACTTAGTTTAAAAACAATTTGCAAAATAAAAGCAATCAAATATCTATAGGCCAGTCAATTCTTAACGTGGCTAGTGTAAACTGGCCTTATAATCATAACTGTATGAAGTTAGCATTACCATAATAATATACCTAAATAATCGGGATGACTTGACTCTTGTGAAAAAACCCTGTAAATAAATATGAAAAAAAAGAAATAATAATAATTATATACCTAGTTTATTAAGTTTAACTCGTCGAGTACCAGTTTTGTAGACACATTTATAGAACAATAGGTTGCGGTCACCAGTGACCGCTTCGTGTTAGACAGTTTAATACAAGGTATGTTTTTTTTTGTTATCACTGTAATAGTTTTCGATTGCTTTATTGATTTGTATAAGTTTAACTCGTCGAGTACCGTCATTATAGACACAATTATAGAACAATAGGTTGCGGTCACCGGTGACCGCTTGGTGTTTGACAGTTTAATATGATGTATTATATGAAAAATGTAGAATGTAGAATGTACTTCCAGAAATCAAGAATATTAAACCAGGTGGATAGGTGATAAGTGTTGTCATTGTCAGGATTTCCACTGTAACTTTTTTTTTTTTTCTATTTTGTACTCAGGGCAGTCATAACATCAAGCATAGGGCCTTATTTAACCAGGTAATAGTACCTGATTCAATTTTATTATAGAGTTTTGGGATATTTGTATAAAGTAGTAAACATTATGGAACTAATTGATCATGCATGACATTTAGTAGATATTTCACTATTAGCTTGGCAATTTTTATTGGAAACATACTGGATATGTTTGGCAATTTGGTACTGAATACCATACAATTAGTATTCAATTTCAGATGAGGAACATTTGCATATTTAGACAAAGATTTGTTAGTATTTTCTTTTTCACTAATAGCAGACCAGTCTAGAATAGTGCTTGGTGTTTGGGAATGTGTTATCATAAATATAATGGACCGATAATGTAACTATGGTAAAATTGAATTAACAGTAGACATTTTCATATGGACCTAGATCTTCAGAACAAAAGGAGTTTGATGTTAAAATGACTTGTTACAAAATTTTTAAATACATCCCAAAAAACGCCATCTACAGTGCTCAAATCATTAAAAAACACAATAGTTGACAATCTACACAAACTCTTCTGGTGTTGTGGGTGTCCATGAGCGACGCCAATTGCTTATTATCAGGTGATCAAGAATCTACAAATTGATACCTCACCTCTCTCTGTGTAATGAGCTCTCCAGCATCAAACTGTGCGACAACAGCCTTCAAAACTTCAGAAGTAATAGATGGCAGCACTCTCTCATCGTAGTCTACACCGAGGATAGTGTAAATTTTGGGTAGCTGGTCAGGAATTGGTCTGAACAGGATACGGAGTGTGATGTTCACATTTTGGAGATCTGAAACACATTTAATTGAGTATCAAACTTTGTTACACAAAAATTAATCATTTGGTTATCAATAATCCAATGATAATTATGATTCTATTTCCTAAAAATAATAAGTTCATAAACTGCATGATAACTAGGTACAATTTTAAACTGTCAAACACCAAGCGGTCACCGGTGACCGCAACCTATTGTTCTATAATTGTGTCTACAAAACCTGTACTCAACGAGTTAAGCATGTTGATAAAATCGTTACATTACAGCATTATTTAAAACGCTTGTGAAGCATTTCCAAGGCATCGTTTAAGATTTTGTAGCAAATAAAAAATATAATTTGTTTGTTTGACTGTACCTTTACTTCCAGTGACGGTAGGAACGTTTCTAGGGCGTGATCGAATGTCAAAGATGATAGGTCTCTGTACCCACGGGACAAAGAAGTGAGTACCCTCACCAACCACCAAATTTTTGACACCAGCAAACCTGTCGAAGATGACGGCCCTGTGACCACCATCAACTGGAAATGGAAAAAATAATAATTAATTTCCACTTTTAAATTTGATATTGTAACATAAATGTTCGATAAGAATCTTTAGCTTAGCTGAAAGACGTGTGTAGTCAATGTTGTTTCATACAAATTTTTACGATAGATTATTGTTAGTCTCTTCCTAAGCTTCTAACCAAACATTAATCTATTTAGATTAATCACTAAGTAAATATTTATGTGTACCTACACTATTGAGTGTGATGTAAACAAAATTTTGTTTAGACTAAAAACTTACTTCTGATCATAGCTAACTATTCCTTTTGTAGGTACTTACCATTGTAAAGTGCAGAATTCACGACACCTCCAACCAGCGCCACACCCAGGCCCATTTGACCGATTCTGTTGAAGAGCTGAGCAGCCATTTCTAGAAATAAATACAGAAAACACTTGAAATATTTATAACGAAAGTGTGATTTCGGATTGCGGCTCCAATTGGGATTATTGCAGCATCGGAACTGTCATTGACATCATTGGACTCTGAATATACTCATAACTACTTTCAATACATTTCAAGTAATTCACACATAATATAAAATATTAACCCACGAAGATGCAGTTATTAAACTCATAAAGTTACCGAAAATCATTTACAAACCTAAAAATTATCTAATTGCACGATATGTTATCTAACCTCAAAATATATTTCGGTGTAGGAATTCCAGGTTTTTATGAAAGTATGCGTTATAAATGCGCTATATTAGCTTACCTTTATGGTTTTATTTACTTTTTAACAAAACTAAATGTATATTTTATAATTTGTAGTAAATTTCTGTCTCAAATTCAATCCAAAATCAGCGAGACGGACCACAGATAAAAACAAGTTATAAAATTAAAGTGCGTGTTTCGTTCGCTTTGGTTATAATAAAACGTTCACTTCTTATTGAAGTTAGTGTACATAACTGAATTATATTATTTTATTAAAACATACAGCTTTTTATGCATAAATGTTATTATTTAGACAGGTTGCAACTCAATGTGCTAGTTTAAAATTACATTACAATTTTGACATTTTGACATAGGAAAAACTAAACGCGGTATTTAGTTTTTCCTGGTAAAAAGTTAATAGCAATGAAAATATAGCCAGAATGTTATTTTGCGACAGGTTTTTGTTAAGAGGTTTTGAGTTATTCTATTAATCTTAATTTTGGATTGGACTACGTTTGTTTAATGTTGTCATCAATTTCAGATTCTCTACAAAGTCCAAAAAAAATTTGCATCAAAAAAAAATCACCAAGTTACTATATATTCACTAAGATTCTTCTGTAACATAGGAATTTATGGAAGTGTCTTATAGCCTTAAGGTTATAGGATACAAAAAATAATTATTCATAATATCTGTAAAGTATACTTTTGCAGAACAATAATTAAGACCTGCTTGCGTTTTGTGTAATTAAGTGCCTGTTAGTTTTATAATAGCAATAGGATACCGAAAAAATCAAAACAACGTTGTGTGGGTGCCGGTGCCGACTCACAATACATAATGTTGCATTAGTTATATCAGCAAACAAACCACTAATGCCGTTAACTGGCTGGAACCAGATGGTAATTGAACGAAAAATAAACAATGAGGGGATAATTGTACGAGTTTGTTGGGGGTCGAGCTGTGGGTGGCTCAATTATGCAATAAATAGCAATGAGCAAATGATTCGAACAAGTGCATAAGTAGTTGTAATATTTATGACTAAATCTGTGAATAAATCATATTGAATTATTAGGTACATATCCTTAAAAGTAAAAACACTTCGGGTAATTTAATTAAAACAACATTGTCGATTTGTTTACATTAAAAAGTCAATGAACTTAATTGACATTGTGAATGTATTATAGATGTTGACTTTTATGACAGATAGTGCATTCATAATTGTAAATAAATGCATAATAACAGTTCTATTTGCACAGCAGAACGTGTCGCGAGGCTATTCTATTTTATTGCATAATTTTATCTGAATTAAAGACAGTTTTTGTATCTTTACAAAATGCGTATGAAAGTGCCAGAAGTGAAACGATGCTGTTGCTGTGTTCCTTTGCGACATGGAATTATTTTGTTTGGGTTAATTAATATAGTAAGTACGCAGGTTTATTGGGAAGGTATTAGAACACGAGTGGCTTCCAAAGAATCGGCCTAATTAGAAGCTATTAGAGGAGGAATGATGTTTTTAGAAGGTCAGGATTGAACGTCTTATGATGCCTGATGAGGTATAATGATGATAGTGATGATTGGCATGGTCAAAAGTTAGGCTTAGGACTTAGCTGTTGCTTGTTTCGATCATGACTCTATGACCTAGCATTAATTTTACTATAGCACTAGTACCTATTTGCTAGTGTCGTATGGTGCCGGCAGTTTGGATCACATTTTTTAATATGACTTTTGGACCTTAATTCGCTGATCGAGTATTTTGTTTTGGTCCACAGATATTCTCAATGCTAGCAGTAACCAGTCTCGTCATTACAACTGAGTTGAAGAAATCGCAATTAATCGATGGGTCTTCTTTAGAAGTGGTGACTTCTACCATTTTGTTCAGCATCTTCGGAATGAGTGTCATTCTGAATATAATGCTCCTGTTCGCGGGTTGTCAGGTAAGCGACTGGTAACTCCATTATAAACTGGGCATTCAGAATTTAAGTAGTAGGTATCTTAAAAATATCGGGCCTTATATATATTTATACATGTCGCGGAGAACCTAACGGGTTATCGGGGCTCTGGCTCGACGTGCAGGAGAAGGAACGGGGTGGTTTTTAGTCAGTAAGAGTCTGACACTCCCTCCCGCCTCACCCAGGCGGGAACAGTCATTCGATGATTTTCCCCCCATAAAAAAATATACCTATATTCATACATAACACTGTGACCGGTCATCTACTTACTTAAATATCACATAGACACAGAGAAAACTGCTTAAAAAGTATTCAACAAACTTAACAGTGGGCATGATTTGGAAAAATGAGTTATCCACTACATTTCTTAACTTACTTAATTATCAATTTACTTTTATAAATACTTTTCGTAAGAACTACATCGCAATATCCTTTGAAACGGGTTGTTATGATAGGTCTAGTGACTTGGTAAGATAACCCGATGCACCCAGTTAAAATACGAATCTGTGTGAGTGATTGGGTGTTATTTAATTTAGCTATACAAAATGTTTGTTATTTTACCTACTTATACCTATGTACTTACTAGGTACACGTACACAGAATATGGCAAGGAATATGAAAAACGATAATATGCTAAATTACAGTTTCTGACGCTGGAATCGGGTATCGGACTATCGGTAGTCCCACATTAGAATGTTCTCTTATGTCTGCAGTGAGACTTAGGCCTCTGCCTCGAATTTAGCGGGCAGCGGGGCGGCGGCGGCGGCGACGCGGTTGGTACTGCTTGACTAAAGTGCACAGCTCGTTGCCCGCCGCAACGTCGCTGTGTTTTTGAGAATCAGTCCATTTGATTTTACGCATAAGATACTGCCGCTCCCGCGCCGCCGCCGCCGCCCCGCTGCCCGCAAGATTCAAGGTAGAGGCCTTATGTGTATAAAGCCTCTACCTTGACACATCATGGTTTGGCCCAAAATATTAATTTACCTAATTAAACCCGCGACACGTAGCAATGCAGCTGATCGCCCAATCACTGCGCTAACCTGTGCATTCGACCTGCCTACTGAGGGTGTACATGATACAATTTTAAATCAGTAAAATTCAATACTTTTTTCGAAATATCAAAAACGATATTTTAATATTCTTTATGAATTTTGTACGAGATTATGCTGTAACATTCCATAGCTACTTATAGCAGACCCGTTTGCTATCAATTAATTAAAGTGTGACAATATGTTATTGTATAGAAAATTCGAAATTCTTTGTTTTTGACTGCAGAAACTACAATTACGTCACAAAATATTTTCAGAAAGACGTGTTGATGCTGCGACTGTACTTGTACTACGGGGTGGTGACCACATTGGCGGCTCTGGTGCCCACATTCATTCTGGTGTCCCGGATGATGACGTACGATGTGTGCTTGGCTTTGTTTGCGATATGTAAGTCACTCTGTTCAAATAATTAAACATTAAATCGAACAATAATGCGGAGTAAGGGGTTACTGACTGCTAAAGGCTGAAATTATAATGATGAATGATTTTGGAATGATTTTCTCAAACCAACATTTTGATTTTCTTCTCTCGATATTTCTCAATGAAAATCTGATACTATTATATAAAGGTGAAGAGTTTGTTTGTCTGAACGCGCTAATCTCAGGAACTACTAGTTCGATTTGAATAAATCTCTTTGTGTTGGATAGTCTTTTTATCGTTAACGGTTTTTTTAAAAACATTGCCCCACACTAGGATTTTCTCCTGTGTCGTGGGTGCGTTTACCAACATACAAGTTCACATACACATGACACCCAGACCCGGAACAACAATCTGTGGATCAGACCACAGAACATATAAATCTTCTATCTCTTAAATCTTCTTTATATTCCGTGGATCAGACAAAGTGTTGTTCCGTGCGGGAATCGAACCCGCGACACGTGCGGCAGCCAGTTGCCCAACCACCGCACCAAGCGTGCAGTCAAGTTTATCCAGGAAGGTGAAATGTACTGTAACCCCCACAATGTAACACCCACTTTTCACTACTTTATGTGATGAGTCCCATGTAAGGGGGTGAGCCTATTGCCATATACCACTATTCCAGCCTTCGTGCTACTACTGAGGTTTATTGAAAAAAAAAACAGTAATACTTTTGCCCGACCCGGGAATCGAACCCGGCCAACGAGGCAGTCACTCCTTACTTCCTTACTATGGAAAGTGAGTTTGTTTGTTTGTTCCGCTTTCACGCCGTAACTACTGAACCGATTGCTTTGAAATTTTGCAGGCGTAAAGTTAGAAGTCTGGATTAAATAATAGGGTACTTTTTATTCCGGAAAAAAATGATATTCCCGAGGGAAAACAAAAGTATTGGTATAGATGGCGCTGTGTGTATTGGTATACGTCACATATGCTGCTTTTCATCCTTTTGTGACGCGAGCGAAGCCGCGGGTAAAAGCTAATATAAAATACGTAAGTGTCGTCACTGAGTCAACATACACTACTATAGTTGTAAATTCAAATTCTTACTACTTACATAAAGATATTTTATAAATGTGTGAATTGTTATTGGCAGTCACGCACGATTGAGCGGTACCTACTTGTGGACTGACATTCCTGTTTACCCCCGCAAATAAAAGAAAGTATGATACGTGACTCTACATACGGAGTTTCGTAAAACATTTAACGTTACCTTTCGGAATATTTGTGATGTTTTAAATAGTTTTCGTATAAGAATCTATTTTCTATTCAGGAAATGGCATATGGGCAGACGTGCTCCATCATAGGTCGCATCATATCTTACCAACAGGCAAGATAGAGGTAAAACATCGACCCATCGAGTACATAAAACACTCATTATGGTGCGCTCGCCACTTTTATGGTACAAAAAGTCCTATGATAACTGCATCGAAAACCACACGAACGGAGTCTGGAGCGAAACGTACCAACTTTTTAATTGAAAATTAATGAATTCTTCTTTTTGCACATTTCGCAAGCCATAGCTACTATGGGTTTTGCCTGTTTCGTGAGCTCATGATGCACTTTTTCAACTTTATATATGTACATATTATACTATCATCTTTGAACGCTATATATATGTGTCCTAAGACTAAGACTAGTCTCTAAGAGAGAGGTAACAGAATTTTCTTTAAGTGTGTGGGAGAACCATGCTTCGGCACGAATCGGCCGGCTCGACCGGAGTGATAGCACGGCCTCACAGAAAAATGACGTGAAGCAACGCTTGCATCGTGTTTCGTCATGTGAGTGAGGTTACCGGAGGCCCAATTACCCGCCCCAATCTCTCCAATCCCCAACAATCTTCAAACTCCTAATGCCCAAAAGGCCGGTAACGCATTTGTAATGCCTCTGGCGTTCCAGGTGTTCATGGACGACGCCGATTGTTTACCATCAGCTGATCCGTAGGGTGGTTTACCGGGCTTATTCCAAAAGAAAATCTATGACACTGCGAGGCGAAGCTTAGTGAGAACTTTGCCACTGATGATCTTCATCTCCCACGACTTGGAACTCTATTATCCCTAATCTTAAGTTTCAAAGTTACTTCAGTAGCCATTAGGCCTTTGTCTGCACACAACAAATACTTTTGGCATATGATAGTGGTATTTTTTTATTTATATTCGACAGGTATGCAATGGTACGTCATCATTCTGGTACGGAGCGAGATTGTGAAGTTGGAGCAAGCGAGTTTGAGGGCAGAGGAGAGCAGCCTAGTACATGAAGTTACCATTGACGTGCCTGACAGAGACACCTTGCTTTAAATCGTTAGATTAGAGTTCATTTTTATAAATAAAATTGATCTATGTTAAAATTGTCGTTAGAATTATTTTTCATTATGTCATAGCAACCAGATCACTAAAGAACACAATATACAATCACTGCGTTCAGTAGCCACTCAAGGGAACGCTAATAAACTTCTTGGGCAACACAAAATTATTTCAAAATAGCCGCTCTTTGTTCAGAGATCACGTTCACGGTAATGATGCCGTCAAATTATTATAAAAATGTGCTAAAATATTTCCAAATTTTCATGTGGCGCACAGGTGGGTGCCCGCGGGACTAAAGTCGTGACTTACTCCGGCAGCACCATTGTCAGGAGCCAGGATAAGGGCTTTGAAAGCAACGGCGGCGGCTCATATTGTATTGTGACTACTCCAAATTGCCAATTACAACAATCATGGTAACTTAAAGACACCGCAACACGAATGCTTCGTAAATGCGGAAGTGCGAATTGAAGATTTAAAAGACTGAGCCTGAACCAAATTCCATTTTTGATAACATGTTATTGAATTTTTTATAATTCTCTGTTTCTAGAAACATCTAAAGCGCAGTTTCTAGTAACATTTATGTTCAATAAACAATTATATTCAATAAACAATTATATTCAATTATATACATACAATTATTAACAATTATATTCAATAAAAATCGAACTTACTTATCTCAACTGACAACACAGGTACCTAAAAGGCACGTCCAGTTTCCTACAACCTACCCGTCTGTAGATTTGGTCTTTAGAGATTGAATGTTGAGACATTTGTGATAAATGGAGATTAACGGGGATCTTAATAAGCAAATGATAAATACATTATCGAGACTGGCTAATAGTTCCAATACTTCACGAACCCAAAACTTATATTTTGTTAGTAATTTTTCTACAGAGTTCGTCGTACGAGATTAGGTAGAAGGATCGTCGTGCGAATCCTTCTTAGGTCTCTTGGGTTAGTTTGTGGGATTAGAAGTCAAATCCGGATAATCCATTCGTCTAATGCCGATGATGAATAGTCTTTTGTTTTACTGTAGGTAGGTATGACCTAATCTAACTAAACATGCCGCAGTTTTATTTGAATAGTTCATAACTATCGCGATACATATTATTCGATTATTTAAAAATCCCTTTTTTTCTTGTTAAGGTACATGTATTAATTCTGTGATCATAAGTCGGAATATGATAAATACAAATTCATTAACAGGAGGAGCAATTAAACTATACATTCTTGGCTTGGCAATTGTTTGTGAATTAATAAGTCATATTGAGAGAAAATGCACAAGCTTTGTCTACTCTATGACTACACAATTAAATGTACGTAAAACACACTTTTCGCCGGTTATATTTATAGCCAAGTGTGTTGATGGAGTGAAAATTTTCGAGGAACCGAAAAAGCAATATGTCAGTTTCGGAGAGGAGAATACCCAAAAACCCAGTGTAGATTAAAACTATTCATAGACTATTTAATACACGATAAGTAAGAGGTCATAAATACGCTATTCGTTTTGAAAAGACCATAACAACAGGCCAGAAGCCTGCAGAATATCACAATTTTGTATGGACATGTGCATAATTGTATTTTTTTTATTCTATAGCACAGGTTATTTTAGTTTGGGTTCCTGACTTCCATCATTGCAACATAATATAACATCACGACTTTTTATTCCCGAGGAGGAGATAGAGGAGCGCATTTCGGCACTTAATGCCACTGTACAATGTAACACCCACTTTTCACTATTTATGTTATGAGTCCCATGTAATAGGGGGTGAGCCTATTGCCATATACCGGGCACATTTTCAGACTCCGTGCTACTACTGAGATTTTTAAAAACCCACTAATACTTTGCCCGATCCGGGAATCGAACCTGAGACCCCTTGGCCCTTGTCGCACTTGCGACCACTCGGCCAAAGAGGCAGTCGAGGCTCTCACAACTTTGTCAATATTATAAAACTAGTATTAAGGTCTACATCACTATGTAATATGATGGAAAAATAAATAAAATGTATTATTATTTATTATTATTTGTTACTAGACTATTGAAAGTGATGAAGAATACGACAATTACAAGCAAACCCCCCAAACCTATTAGATTTTCCAAGATTATCATACCACGATGTGATTTTGTTCAAGAAATCCAGTATAAACTAACTGTTAACTCTGCGCAGAGATCATACAAAGCGAGATAACGATATACTGGTCCTATTTTTATCACTTGGTGATAGTTTAATCGAAAAACAATGATTGAATCTGGCATATGATATGTAGCTCTACTTTGCCACATACAAATTATTTTAATCGATTCTGACCATCCTTTAAAACAAGACCATAGCTTGGTAGTCGTTGCTTGTGACTTTTCGAACAGCCTCATTGGCAGTCGGTTCGTATGTCCTATAGCTATAAATACCGCGTATTAAATGAATACTTCGATCGTGTACCACAAACGTGGTTATTACAGTAATTTGCTATGTTTCACGTTAATATACCATGGGATATATATTTAAGTGCCATCTGGTATTCGAATGAGAAAATTCTGGAAGCCACAAACTATGGGCGGCGGCGACTGGCGGTTACCAGTGACAAGTTTAAGGACAAAGTTATTAATGTAGACTGTACAACATGTTACATTAATTAATTTTATATAGAAATAAATGTTTTTAAGAATTATATTTCGTATCGTACTTTTTACTATTCAAGGAAATACTTATTTAGACGTGAACTGAACTGAAAGTTATTAACCTTTTAAACGACGCAAGCTGTTAATTCTCAACACTTAAATCCTCATCATTAATTAAAAAATTGCTTAATAACTACAATTAGCAATCATTTTAATATTCAGATGAATTTAAAATGGCGGGAGGCGGCCATTTTTTAAAGTACAAGCTTTAACTATGGCACTAAGGAGTTCTGTAAAGGAAAATGCACTTATTAGCTGAGGAGGGTTTGTGGAGGGCTCTGGCTAATGGTTGCTATTCACTGCTTGAATGGAAACGCGAAATTGCCAACAATTATATACTCCCGCAATGATAACCGGTGGATGTTCTGCTTCTACAAACTCAGGTTTGGCCGTGTGCATTCGCGGGCTTTTTACTAAGATCCGTCAGTTTGAGTGATCATTGTTCGCGCCGTGGTTTAGATATTATGTTGATGCGTTGTCAGTAAATATTTAGTTGACTACATATTTTTGTATTTTTCGGAAACTTAAATGAAATCCTGAAATATCACAACAAATAAATTCTCTTGTCACAAGAATTTTAAATCTAAAACTAAGCACAGATAACTACTTAAAATACATTTCTATAGTCAAATTCCGAGTTGTGAATTCTTCCGGAGAAACGGTTTCTGAGTGACAGAACAACTCCAAAATCTAACCAGAGTGTGGTATTGTGCGAAGCATGTGCCGGGGCGAGGTGACGTCACAACATGGCCGGCAGGTAGGCAGGAGAGCGGAGATAGGATCCGGTCATCCTGCCCATTTCCGGTCTTCACGCGGCCGTGACGCTTCCGGGCACGCGTCGCCGACGCCGAACACGAGGCTACTGATGAACTGGAAGAGATATTTTGGAGTTGTTAGCTGTTTTATTATTTTAGAGTACTTAATAGTAAGATTTTTTATATTTAGTTCAAAGAGATTCCGATTACTCTCTGTAATCGGCTAGAAGTGTAGCCATATTCTTCTTTACCTTTATTTACGCTATTTCCGAACTAATACAGGGTCACTAACGAGTTCATCCAGTTCTCTGCGATAAATTATTCGCCCGTCAAACGTTTTTTCTAATTCATATGTCATATAATCATTCACTCATTTTATACTGGCTGAAATTGTCCGGTACGTTACCATAACTTTGAAATTAGAACACGAAAAATAAATCTCATTGTCTCTTCCAAAAAAGGTAAAGTTTTCCCGCCAAGTTCTGTGTCATGCCGCGCCACCGTCACACGACGCGACGTCTGCAAGATGAGTTTTGTAAAATGAATTCGTTTGTACAATTGAACATGGTCCTGTCACTTCTTAGTTGTGCGAAGTTAGTATTTAGGTACCTATTTCGTTATGTGCTTATTATCTGCTTCAATTATTTTTTGTCTAATTTAGTAGTCTCATCTGCTTTTAATTATTGGTTATTGGCATCAGAGATTACCGATGATGGGATGGGATTTAAGTTTTTTTCGGTAATTACCTTGAGGAATTTAGAATTACAAAACACAAGAGAAGACTGTCAAGTCCAAATGAAAAATTCGGAAGAACTATAAATAAATGCAATGACAAAAACTAAGTTTAGTATTTGCCGCTCTTATGGCGATCGTGACTGCAAGAAGCTACCTTCAACATCAGTTACATATACGTAACAATTTCATAATATTGACAGGTGCCTTGGGGCCCACCTGACAGCGGTCATGCCCATATGTCGGCCTCCACTCGTGGCTTGCCAGGGACGCACGCGAACTACGCCCTTTTCTTGCCTACAAGACTATTTCTACACAACATAATACATCGAAGACTTCATACGAAGCACTTTAAAAATGACTCAAATAGACAAGTAATGTAAATCGTTTAACAGTAAAATGTTGTAATGATAATCGAAAAGCGATTATAGCCCTTAAGACACAAGCAACTAAAGGAATTATTGAATAAAAATATAAAGTTAAACAGTAAGCGATTGTTACGTGTAATTAAAGTCGTGTTTTGTGCGACGCCCTCTTAATTTGTTCCCCCTTTTGTGTAGGGGGGACGCGACATGTGCGAAGTGGCACTTTAGCCTAGCTTTTAATCATCTCAGGTTTTTTTTAGCTTCTGGGTTAATTATTTTAATTATTGTGGTTTTAAACGGCAATTTGTTGTTTCCAGTATTAATGTGGGACTTCGAATGTGTCATTGGTCCTGCTTTTGTCCTATGTATAGAACTATTGTTGACAACGGGTTTCTAGGAATGTGTTTCATTAATTAGATTTCAATATTCCTAGTAAATGTTATATAATTTGTAAGTAAAGGAACAACTTCCTACACGGACTGACGAATATTTATTCATTTTAACTGATAAAAAAGAGCGTGTAGTAGGTAACATGTTTTTTAACTCTTAAGAAAAACAATAATGTTATCCAAAAACACATTATCACACCGATCATTAAATAAATCTAAATTTATTTCCTCTGTCATTAATTAATCGCCATATTGTTGAGATCCGGCAATTAATAAAATGAAATGGAGTGTTGAAAAGTTTTTTCTTACGTTTTTTGATTTGTCGAAGACAGCAGAAACTAATTTATTAGAAATTCAAAAATAAATAACTAGTGTGCCGTGGACGGGCGTGACGAAAAATAATATTTTGTTTTTACGTCATTTTTCGACGTGATACGACTTAGAAAAAAGGGTGACTACGCTGTTTCGTTGTGAGACAAAAAGATTGAGAGCGAAACGAATTTATGTATTTCGATGTATGCGCAAGTCTTCGGTGGAGAGTCAATGTAAGAAACTAACGATTAAAATGTATTAAAACAATATAGGTGATATCAAAGAAATTATTTGTGTACCTTTGAAACAAGATGATTGATAAAAAATATAATTTAGTCTAACTACATATTTCATAATGTTGTGCATTTTTTTAAGGGGGGAAAATCATCGAACTAATTCTCTCGCCTGTGTGAGGCGGAAGGGAGTGTCAGACTCTTACTGACTAAAGACGACACCGTTCCTTCTCCTGCACGTCGAGCCGGAGCTCCGGTAACTCGTTAGGTTCTTCGCGACTACAAATTGGCAAAATGTTGCGCATACTATGAAGATGAAAACTATGAAGAATATATCACACATTATGAAGATTCATAATAATTATGATTTGAACTATGGTATTTAGCGCCCCGAGCCACGGTAAGTTCACAATTCTGAGACCCTGGTACGAGTTCTTTTAAGGAGGTCGAAATGTTAACCATTGGGCCTCCGATTGCTTCTGATTGATTCATTGAAATAGGCCAATGAGAGGCTTTAGTACGAGTTCACTTTACGTTTATAGTAATCAAAATGAGTACGCTTTCGGCGTTCTGATTGGCCGGCTCCAGTGAACCGACCAGGGCTTTAAACACAAAACAAATTCGTACGAAGCTCTCTGCCAGCTACTTCGCTTAGTAACAGGTGCAATGTTAGGTTTATACAGATATACATTATATCTCTCTTTCTAATTGAATCCGACATATGGTAGAGTTGGTAGGCTAGTGATTTCCGTCCCAAATACGTCCTAATTCGACGTATCTAACACGACCCTCGGGGAATTAATGAGATCGATGCGGTTTCGATAGATATCACATTTTATTTTTGGTGTATTAAGGATCATTTTGGTAATTTTACCTATTAATTTTGGTATCGAGCCGCTTTTGTAACGGTGGGGGTTGTTTTTAACTGTTTAATGCTGTGAAGTGAATTTTTAAGTAGGTACGTAAGTACTTCACTCTGATAGATTATATATCGAAATAGTGGAGTAGATTCCCTTTTCGGGTGATCTTATAATACCTATATCAGAATTACCCGTCTTAAGTACGTTTAAAAAAGCGGCTTCAAAGCCCTCATTTCCTCAAGTCGGTTAATTAAAATACAAAACCTTCTCCTAAGTGTTACATTACATTGTTCTCAAAATCGCATCAAAATCGGTTCAGCCAATCGCGAGATAATCGCGCACATAAATACATACATACATACACTAGTTCAGCTTACTTTCTTCTGGAACTACAAAGATGAAAGAACATGATGATCAATTCAACTAACTTCGACACCACTATCGAAATTGAATAAGTGAAATAAAATAAAGAAAGATATCGATACGCTTTCATATAAAAAAAAAAACAATACAACAAAAGAGTAATTTTCAAAGAATTTAGTTCAAATAATTTTAAATCTTATGTCGTGACACTCGGGCGGTCGCAAAACGTGTGTTCATTTGAGCGACGTCGGATCACATATTTGAAATAACAAGCCGTTTAAGAATTTTAAACAATTTCTGTGTGTCTCTGTCTCCTGCGTGGACTATTAGCGTCGGTAATGACCCATAATGACAATTTGGTCGTATAATCAGGACATTAAGTAATGTGCGCGACGGCGACGCCTCAGGCCGACGCGACGCGACATCACTGCCGCAACCATTCGACCACTTTAACGGACTTTAGTCAGTCACATTTCGGGGTTTAGGTGTAATAATAATATGGCACGTAAAGGAATCAGCAGCTGTAGCCAAATGCCATTTTAGAATAGAAAACCAAATTATAGGTATGGGATTGACGTAAATTTTGACGGAGTAATATCACGGCCTCACAGAAAACCGACGTGAAGCAACGCTTGCGTTGTGTTTCGTCGTGTGAGTGAGGTTACCGGACGCCCAATTGGGCGAAGGGTAATTACCCTCCCCTTCCCCAATCTCCCCAATCCCTGAATCCTCAATGATCCTCAAACTTCTAATCTCCAAAAAGCCGGTAACGCACTTGTAACGCCTCTGGTGTTCCAGGTGTCCGTCTGCTAGTTTACCAGATTATGCCATAAAAAAAAACTTGTCAGTGTCATCCCCATACATTTAGTTTTCTACTCTCTATGTAGACAATCGCTAAAGTGGCATTTGGCTAAAGGCACAGTTGTTGACCTTTACTGGAACTAGATTAATCATTTGTTTCAATTGTTATTTTTGCATAGTCCAGATCTTCTGCGAATTTTCATAGTAATGTGCGTATAGCGTTAAAATTAACATACATTGCATTATAGTTACGTTCTAGGTACATATAAACATTCTAGACAAAACAATGTTTTTATACTAACTATGTCGAGACATATTAAATTAACCAAAGATCTCGGGTTTCTTACATGGGTTGTAGCACGTTGTAGGCTGTGCGACATCGCCGCGACCACGCACGCTGCTCTTGAGGAAGAACCCCTCTGTGGTTCGAAACTAGTAGAGCTTTTCTGAGTATTTTCACGTAAGTAATACGCGATTTTTAGTTAAAAGAAACAATTTCTATCTATGGAGCTTTACCTCTATTTTAGTATACCACTTATTACTTAAACTGTTATTTATTGGTTGAATTAAGACAATACTTAGACCTTACTAATATCCCAATTAAACACCGGTTACAGTGCATTTGTGGGTCTGTCATAATGTCGTAATTCGCGTGATTCACTCAATACGCTCACAGGCTTGCCTTAAGGTGACATTTTGTGTGACTTTACGGTACAAAATGAGTGTGAATCGTGATCGAAGTACTGAAGATATACTTTAATGTCATTTACTTTGACGGTAGTTTCAATTTGGTCTCATCTTTGGGGCAGAGGCCAAGCAATGGTCGTAAAATGATCTGCCAATCTGTTATGGATCTTATTTTTGGTTGTTTACGTTTCATTTTTATTGTTCGGGACTTTTAAGGCTTGTAAAGCAATTGTAGTTTTGACTCTTTTTGGTGTTCAATATATTTGTTTGGGGGCTTTAAAGTAAGAGGTATAAAATTCTCAGTGGCTGTAAGTTAATTAAGTGAAATCTGACAAACGTGAAATGTTAAAAATATGTATTCCCATATAAAACA